CCTTCATTTCTGCTAAACTGGCACATGATCTCCCCTTTGAAAACGGAACCTGAGGCTCAGAGCAGTCAGCTCTCTTTCTGCCAAGCTCCGTCTTCCGTGGAGCGGCACGGATCTGGGAAGACGCGGGGTCGGCATGGGTTCTGCGGCCAAGGCTGGCTCCACGGATGTTTGCAAATTAGCCTCGAGGCCGGCTGGAGGCACCAAGGGAGGGCGCGACCAAAAATCTGGGGGCAGGAGGAGAGACGTGACCCCGCCAGAGTGCAGAGGCCGACACGCGCACGCTATAAAGGAGCACACGAACAGCCAGCAAGTCCGGAGAAACCGCCCCTGACCCTCGCAGGCCGCCGTCTGCGCCGACACACAAAGGCCGGACGTGCGGCCGCGGCTCCGTCAACCCCCGCTGCAGTGTTCCCTCTAGGACCCCGGAGGCCCGCATCTCGGTGGTTCCCTGGACTGCCTCTAGGACCCCGGAGGCCCGGATCTCGGTGGTTCCCTGGACTCGGAGACCCCTCCCCGCCTCCCGGCGCGTGAACCGCACAAAGAATCAGCTCGCTTGCGGAAGAAGAACTCCCCTTAAACTATATCCCGATGTACATTTCCGCTGAGGGGTCGGAACAAGGCGGGTTATCCCGCTGGCTGCCCCCAGAGGACAAAGAAACCGTGGCCCAGGGGCGAGAACCCGGCGCGCGGCCCTCCACGCCCCCTGCCGGGTCCGCCGACCGGGCTGCCTATCACGAGAAAGGAACACCAGTAAAATTAAAGCTTATGCTTTCAAGGAGGCAGAAAACAGTTCCAAGCAGAGAAGAACGAGTGTGCAAGAGTTCAGTGCGCTCATTATTAAGATGGCTACTACAAAACGTAACAGGTGCTGGATGTGAAGAAATTGGAATCCTTGTGCAGTGTCGTTGGGATGGGAAAGCCTCTGTGGGAAACAAGATGGCATGCCCTCAAAAAATAAAATAAAAAAAAATTACCGCATGACCCAATAATGCTACCTTGGGGTGCAAAGAACTGAAGGCAGGGACTTGCAGTGTTCGCACAGCCTTGCTCGTAGCAGCTTCCTTCACAACGGCCAAGGAGCGCAAGCGATGTAGTGTTCAATGGCTAAGCAAACTAGGAATTTTTTAGAGAATTATTTTATTTGAAGAGCAGAATTACAGAGGGAGACGGGAGGGAGGGTAGGAGGGATCTTTCATCTGTCGGATCACTCTCTTTAGCCTGCAGCAGCTGGGGCGGGGCCAGGTTGAAGCCGGGAACTCCATCTGGGTCTCCTCCATGGGTGGCGTGGCCACCATCCATTGCTCTGCCAGGTGCATTAGCAGGGAGCTGGTTTGAAAGTGGAGCAGCCAGGACTCAAACTCAGGCGGGATGCTGATGTTGCAGGCAGCGGTTTGACCAGCTGCACCACAGTGGCAGCCCCAGGAAGGAAATTTTGACATAACATAGATGAACCTTGATTACAGTACTTTAAGATTTCCCTTGTGTATGTATCTAGAGTAATCAAATTCAGAGACAGAAAGAATGATGGTTACCAGAGGCTGGAGGGAGAGGGAATGAGGAGTCATTGTCTAAGGGGTACAGGGTTTAAGTTTTGCAAGGATAGGAGAGTTCAGGAAATGGATGACAAAGATTGCCTAACAACGTGAATGTGCTTAGTGCAACTGAGCTGTACAATTAAAAGTGGTTTCTATGGTAACTTTTATGTTTTGTGCATTTTATCATTGAAAAAGAACCTGGGGGCCGACGCTGTGGCAAAGTGGGTAAAACTGCTGCCTGCAGTGCTGGCATCCCATATGGGCACAGGTTTGAGTCCCAGTTGCTCCACTTTTGATCCAGCTCTCTGCTGTGGCCTGGGAAAGCAGTGGAGGATGGCCCAAGTCCTTGGGCTTCAGCACCCACGTGGGAGACCCGGAGGAAGCTCCTGGCTCCTGGTTTCGTATCAGCTCAGCTCTGGCTGTTGCAGCCAGTTGGGGAGTGAATCAGTGGATGGAAGACCCCTCTCTCTCTGCCTCTCCTCTCTGTGTAGCTCTCACTTTCAAATAAATAAATAAATAAATGTTAAAAGGAAAAAGAACCTGGAGAAGACACAATCCTGTATAAAAAGCACCAGAGGTATGCTACAAAAATAGACTGAGATTTCTGAAACAGGATTGGTACTAGAATATAGATACTTGTAAATATTTGTGGGTAATGTTAACTGATATTTCACAACTGGGTGTGGCAGTACTGCCATAACTATTTGGATGATCAAGGGATTGGGACAAAAACTCCTGAGACAGGAGTTGAGAATGATGTCCCCAGAGAGCACCTGTGCCATTGGGCCCTGGATTGGTGGAGGGGATGCAGAATGGGGTTTCCTATTCAGGGTTTAACAAATATTAGAAACGCTTCTAAACACATCTTATTTTGGCAAACACTGTGCACTATTCAGAAAAATGCATGAAAATCCTTCATGGACTTCATCATGAAATGGAGTAGGTGGCCACACTAGGCATACGCAATAATTGTGACGATGGGTCTGGCATTGTGGCATAATGGGTTAAGTCGCCACCTTCGATGCTGACAATCATATGGGCACTGGTTCAAGTCCCAGGTGTTCTACTTCCAATCCAGCTAATGTGTGTGGAAAGCAGTGGAGGATGGCCCAAGAACTTGGGCCCCTGCACCCATGGGGGAGACCTGGATGAAGCCCCTGTTTCCTGGCTTCGCCTGACCCAACCCCGGCTGTTGCAGCCATTTGGAAGATTCTCTCTCTCTAAATCCCTCTCTCTCTCTCTCTCTCTCTCTCTGTAACTGCCTTTAAAATAAATAAAATAAATCTTAAAGATAAAAAATTGTGACTATAACCCCTATTAACTGAGTCTGCCTGCATGACCTCACCCAAGTATATTCATTTATACCCTGTTCATTGTTCTGCATGGAAAGAGGTTGGTCAAAGGGTACAGAGATCCAATTAGAATGAATAAATTCTGGATATCTATTGTACTGTGTAATTATAGTGCATAGCAATGTACTGTATACTTGAAAATAAGAATAGGTCTTCAATTTTCTCCTAAGGGTTATTAGTTACTGGGAAAATCCATTAGCCAGATACATGGTGCCCTCTAGGGGCAGTAACCTAAGATTGCAACAGAGCCTGCACCCTAAAGTAGAAACGCTTTTGCTGAATGCTGAACGCAGCTGTTCTATTCCATTAACCCAAGAAGGAAATCCAGCATTGACCTGCAAAATATGGTGTTCTCAGGGGTTCAAAGAAACCACTGTTCCTGGAGCAAATGCTGTGAGACAGCCCCATAGAAATGCTCCTAGGCAGATAGATGTTTGAGCCCACTATTAAGAGGCATATGATGACTGATACATACAAAACAAAGTTAAGCTTGACAAGGGAGTCCAGGTGAAGCTAGCCTAAGAGGCACTCCTTCTAAAACCTCGTGGTTGCTCAAATGTGGCTGAAAGGGTTATTGACACTGAATCCTGGTTGTCAAATACTGCTCCCCAACTCCCCCGGCCTCTGCTCCCTGATGAGGGGCCAGATCAACAGGCAGGTCAGATCCAACCTGGCAACAAAGGACAAACAGAACCCAGCTACAGGATGAGAGATCAGCGACGTGCTAAAAAAAAAAAAGGGATCTGGACCACAAGGAGGGAATAAAAATCAAGATGGAGTTACTGGTGTTAACCCTAAACAAAAACTGGTCACACTGAAAGACTATAATGTGGGGAGCAGCCCGGACTGGACTGAGTTACTGGAATTAAGACTTATTCTATGCATCTGCTCTCCCACAGTATGGCGCTGGGAGAGAAGTAAACAGCTTCCGCACAGCTGCCTCCAGTTCAACCAATAAACTGTAGGACTTGCTCCTGATTGGAGAGCAGCGTACTCGGCGTGTGGGCAGCCGAGTTGGGATTGGCAGAGGAGGACTATAAAGGAGGAGAGAGACGGCATGCACGGGGAACATCTAAGGGGAACACCTAAGGGAACACCTGTGCAGCCCCCGAGAAAGCCGGCCGGCGGTGTGCTGCTCCCCTGTGGAAGTGGGGAATGTGGCTAGGGGGAACTGCCCTTCCACGGAGGTGGAAGGGATAGTAGCCAACCCGGGAAGAACCAGCAGCAAACCCGGGGAGGGCCGAGCAGACGAAAGAACAGCGCAGGGTTTAGTGTCGCTCCTCCACGAAGAGGGGGAGCGACATAATGGTGCCGTGACTCGGATATGAAGCCTAGGCAGGGTTTAGTGTCGTTCCTCCATGAAGAGGGGGAGCGACACTATAAAGGAGGGGATCTTATGCATGATTACCTAATAGTAACTCTCAAAGGATTAGGACCATGGTGTACGTTTCCTGCGTGGTGACTCCCTGCGGCAATGCACCAGATTCTCTCCTCCAGGGCTGCTGGTGTTCAGCCACGCGCCAGCCTGGATTCTGTCCATCCCCATTGTTCTGACTCTGACATCACAGGGACACAGTCAGCCTGGTTCCCCAGGTTCAAATCCAACCCTGTTCACTTTGTAATGCAATAATCCACTTCGTATGCAGATATTCAGAAAACACACTTTGTTTTTTGAGAGTCATGAAGGGAGGTGCTGTGGAGGGGTGAAGAGGGACTTAGCTTTCTCCAAAGTCTTCTGCAACCTCTTTAACCCTATCACAGTGATCAATGCTTTCCAAGCAGAGGGGAAATGATTGATTAAGCAAAGCACAGACCTGCAGATGGGAGCGTGTCTTCTTACTGCGATTCAGTTAAATCTCCAGAACCCAGCTGTATATTTGCTTTTAGAGGGCCACAACCTTGAATCTCATAGGCACGTTGTCCAGGCTGCACAATGTAACTGTGTCCCTACTGGAAGGTGGCCTCCCTGTGCCAGCACATGAGTCCTGTGACTCCCTGTGTGTCTGGAGGGCAGACCTGGCTCCACATTTTCTTTTTTTCTCCCTACCCTTTGTCGTGACACCCTTGATAGTCATAGTCGAGGATTGATTGGAAACAAGAAACAGAACCCAGCTGAGGAGGCAAAAGCAAATAGGAATTTATTTAATATACACCTTGGATCTTATCCAGGAAAGCAAAGCAATCCTTAGGGGCATGGGTCCGGAAATTGGAAAGTTGTCAATGGCCAAGACAGATGCCAAACCACCATCGCAGCCTCACTCCCTGTGGCCCTCCACCCCCAGCCTGCGTGATGGCCTCTATCTAATTTCTTGTTCACTGAATCCAGTTTTCTCTGCCAGCTGCACCAGGCATTTCCTCCACTTATCTGTGGTGGAAAATGTTTGCCCAGCACACGCAGATTTCTCCTCTTCTCTTTTCACGCCCCTGGCAGAGACTGTAGGTCTTGCTGACTCCAAATGCAGATTCCCAAGGGAGAGAGTGCTTTGGCACATCCACTTGGCCATGCCCACTGGCTGGGGAGGTCGGGAGATGCTACCCCTATTCGCTTGGTCTGAAGCACTGAAGCTGGCGAGGCAAAGTCGATCATGGTGTCTCCTGGAGTTTCCTTACGCTGTCCAAGGGGAGAGTGTGACTAGGGGAAGAGGACACACCCAGGAATTTCCTCAGGCGCTCACACCATCTCCCCAAACCCAGAAGCACAAGCTCCAGAAGCGTAAAGAAGAGACAGAGCCCGTTGACCCCAAACATGGCCTTTAGGAAGACGGTCTTCTCAGAGGGGCGGGAATGGATGCACTCTACCAGATTGGGGCATGGGTCTGTTCTACATTGAGATACTCTGGGCACCTGGAACCCATATAGATGGTACTGAACCCCCAGGGTCACCCCCTCAAGGATGAGTCGCACACCCAGCTGTGCCACATAGGCCCAGAGCAGCCTCAAGCTTCCAGCCCCTAAGGCATCTCTACTGCTGTCCCTTTGGTAGATCAAGGTCTCTTCCTCCTTCTTCACCTTTCCTGGTTCTTCATAATGCCAGATCACTTGATACAGGACGAAAACCATGTAGAGGGCACTGGGTACAGCCACTAAAATGACTTGGAAGGCCCAGAAGCGCAGAGGAGAAATGGGATGTAAGGCATCAAAGCAGGCGGCCTTGCAGCCTGGCATCCGCGTGTTACACTCGAATTCACTCTGCTCGTCACTGAAGACCCCAGGCCCACTGGCAGCCAGCAGCGCCAGGCGAAATCCCAGGAGCACAGGCAGCAGGAGGCGCCCCACGGCCGTGGAATGTCGGCTCTCCTCGGCCAGCAGCTGCCTCAGAAACCGGCCACGCATCTTCCTGTGGAGCAATGACAACAGAATATTACAAATGGTTTTATTTTTCAAAGATTGGTTTATTTATTTGACAGGCACAGTGTCATAGAGAGGGGGAGACTGAGAGAGAAAGGGGTCTCCCCACTGTTGGTTCACTCTCCAAGTGGCTGAGGTTGAGCCAGGCCAAAACCAGGAGCCAGGAACCCCATCTGAGTCTCCCACATAGGTGGTGGGAGCTCAACTAATTGGGACATCATCCACTGGTTCCCAGGTGCATTAGCAGGGAGATAAATTGAAAACAGAGTAGCTGAGATTCGAACTGGTGCTTCCATAGGGATGCAGACATCCAATGCAGGAGCCAGCTGCACCACATCGCTCACCCCAAGTGTTTGATTTTAAACTTCAGGTAGGTTCCCGAAATTCCCATGATTATTTTGTTCCCCTATCAGCAACCCTGTTTCTCCCTGTTGCACACCGTGGGGTATCTTCAGCGGCCGATGAAGAAATGAGAAGTTGATTTATTTGTAGGTTGAGGCACCTTTCGTTAATCTAGCACCCTGCAGATCACTTCCCTTTAGGGGCTACCAACCAGAACAGGTGCTAGAAGTCAGCCACCTTGCTGTGTGATAATCCCTGGGCCTCGTCAGATCGGACCCTATTCGAAGAGAAATCGAGAGGGAAAAATACAATTCCTTTTACACGTCACCATGCCAATAAAGACAGCAGTCACTGGCATGGGGTCTCAGAGAAAACATCTCTCTGAAAAAATATTTTTGTAACAAAAAAAAGATGAGAAATTTGGGAGACATATACTTAAGTGCTTTTAAAATACTGTAGGATATTTCCTCTACTTACACAAATAAGGACCATAAAGGGAGTCAGGCTCAGGTGCCGGCAGATAAGAACAGGTGCTTCTGATGCAGTTAAAAAAAGAAAACAGCGAGTATAGCTGGAAGTTAAGAGCTGAAGTTAAATCCATGGAGAAGAGAGGAAAGAGCTGAGAGAACACAGAAGAAAGAAAAATAATACATTAAGTGGACTGAAAGACAAAATTGAGAAACTGTCTAACAACAGAGCAGGAGTCAACATATCTGAAAACAGCCCAAAGTGACATAATCAACAAGGCAATGGCTGCTTCCTAATTTGAAAGTAAAAGTAGGCCGGCTCACTAGGCTAATCCTCCGCCTGTGGTGACGGCACCCCCAGGGTTCTAGTCCCGGTCAGGGCGCCGGATTCTGTCCCGGTTGGCCCTCTTCCAGGCCAGCTCTCTGCTGTGGCCAGGGAGTGCAGTGGAGGATGGCCCAGGTGTTGGGCCCTGCGCCCCATGGGAGACCAGGATAAGCACCTGGCTCCTGCCATCGGATCAACGTGGTGCGCTGGCCGCAGCGCGCCAGCCACAGCGGCCATTGGAGGGTGAACCAACGGCAAAAGGAAGACCTTTGTCTCTCTCTCTCACTGTCCACTCTGCCTGTTAAAAAAAAAAAAGTAGACTCTGATTTTAAGACAGTGAGAGAAGGATGTTTTCATCCTTGCAAAGCTACTCCGTAAACCACAACAAGGACAAAGAGAAACACAAGCTCAATTTTGAAAATTAAACTTGAAGTGGAGCCGACATTATGGCACAGTGGGTTAAGCCGCTGCTTGTGACACGAGCATCCCATAACAGAACATCGGTTTGAGTCCGTGCTGCTCCACTTCTCATCCAGCTCCCTGCTAAAGCACCTGGGAAAGCAGCAGAGAATGGCCCAGGTACTTGGGCCCCTGCCACCCACATGGGAGACCTGGATGGAGCTCCAGGCTCCTGGTTTCAGCCTAGCCCAGCCATCTGAGGGGTGAACTAGCTAATAGAAGATGTCTTTCTCTCTCTGCCTCTCCTTTTCTGTCACTCTGCCTTTCAAAAAAAATCTTAAAAAATTAAACTTGAAGAGACCTGTAACTCTGAGATATAAATATCTCAATATAGAAAGGTGGACAAGCACAGTAGGCCCTTTGTGTGCCCGTGAATCTGCATGGACAGCTTCAGTCAACCACAGATGGAAGATACTCAGTAAGAGACTTGCATCTGTGCAGAACGTGTGCAGGCTTTCCCTATTGTTATTCCCTGAACAATACAACACAACAACATTTCCGCAACATTTACTTGGAATCAGGCATTATAAGCCATCCAGGGATGATGGAAAGTACAGAGGAGGATGTGGACTGGCTCTATGCCAATACCATGCCATTCCTCAGATTTTGGTGCCCATGGGAGATCCTGGAACCAGTGCCTACAAATACCGACAATGACAGTGGATGGACAAGTGAGGAGTGAACAGCAAAGCAAAGGGAAGGCAGCCCTCTGTGGGGAGACAGCTCTATTTGGCACCCAAGAAAGTCAAGGAAATCGTCCTGCAAGAACAAGAGAGAGTTGGAGAATGCAAAATATAAGCAAGTTGGAGGACAGATCTAGGAGGCTTAACACCTAACCAAGGAGTCTGACATTTTGCCATAAATCTTGTTTTTAAAGTAGTGTGTCCCCAGCGAACCCCATGAACACAGGAGGGAGACACCAGCTGGGCTCGGGGGCTGACTCATCCCCACATCCCTCCAGAGCAACGCTAAGATCTTTTTCTCGCCCAGCCCCTCCCTTGGCCCCAGCTCTGGCCAAGAAGGCTGGCTTTCCCAATCATGTTTACTACACATTTCCAGGGAAGCCTAACAAAGGGGAGTCACACTCTCTTCATGTGTAAGGAAACTAAGCAGCTTCCAGGCACTCTGACTCCTGCCCCTTCTTGTAAGGAAGGTGCTGTGTCCACCCTGGGCCCTCAGCTAGATTCCTCCAAATCTTCTGGGGTTCCCTCAGAACTGAGTTCAGATGCAGCCAGAGCTCCCTGCACAGCCTTGGGTATCTGCAGGGAAGGAAGTGCAGGAAATCAGATGAGCTGAATCCCAGGCATTACTCTGGACTATTTTTTTGCCCTTCGTTCTGAGCTCCTTCCCCTGTTCTGTTAGCCACAAGCCCTGGTGGCTCATGAGGCCTCAGAGTAAGTGCTGACCTCGATCTCAAAGCTCCAGGCTACCGAGGGTGTGTTCTCGGCATGGATGCAGATTGAGCATTGCTTCCCTTGCACACTTCTTTCCTACCCTGTCCAGGGACTACAGCACCATTCACCAAGGCCCCCTGCTGGGCCCAAGCACACCCAGATTCTGAGCTCTGCTTCCACCATTCCAGCCACTGGTCCAGGATTTCACCTTACGGGTAAGCCTGAGACCGCATATCCCTGGTTGACATGTGGGCATGGGTGTGAGGAGACAAGAAAGGGATAATCTCACCAAGGAGCCATGCAGAGGACTGCTTGCTGGTCAAGCAAGATTTGGAGGCTGTGATCCTGGGTTTTGAAGGGATCCCTTCAGGATGGGGAGTGGCAAAGTCAGGACCCTGTGGATCATGCCAGCTTTGGGATGGCAATGGCTCTGGGGATAAATTTTTAAAAAATATATGCCAGTGTTTAAAAATTGCAGTATGGCTTCTCTGAAGATATTCCTCATGTCTCTTGTCCCAACAGGGCAAGATTGAGAAGCCATGAGGGAGGCAGAGGGTGAGAAAGAATGGCCCCCGAGGGGGGATGGGGTGCTATGAGAGCCTGTCCCAGTGCCCCTCCTGGCCTGTCCATCCGGGCCACCTCCCCTGTATGTGATCTTCTCGTGTTCTTACCTGGAGGTCTGAGCAAGGCTTCCATCAACAGGAAGAGGTGCAGAGAGAAAGCAATCCCCACGCTGGAGCTGCCAGGATCCTCACTCTTTCCCTGGCCCGGCCTACTGCTTTCACTCATGCCCTTCTCCTCCTCCTTTTGTCAAGCTTAGTCAGAAAAAAAAAAAAAACACAACAACAACAAGTAGAGGCAGCTCTGCTATTGAAAGTGCCAGGACCATGGTTTCCTGAGAAAGAGGCGGGATACAGAATCATTCCTGGAACCAGCATGGGTGGAGGAGGGTGCAGGAAGGAAACGGCTGGGAGGGACGCGCTGCTGCGGCTCTGAGCTTCATAGTGTGGGCTAACGTTAGGGCCCCAGGCAGCTTGAAGGAACGTGGGCCCCTGAAACTTCCCAGCCTTCATGGGTGCGTCTCAGAGTTTCCTTTCTCACCTCTGGGTCTCAATTTTCATCTACTGCTGTTCTCCTTCATTTCTTAGCAAAGTGACTAGAAAAAATGGTCCCATTGATGGTCTCCCAATTTTCACTTTACTCTCTCTTCCGGAGCCACTGCAAACTGACTCCCTTGGGTTCTCCGGTTCCTGTTGTTTCTGTACCCATCCATACACTCAACCCTTACAAAGCCTGGGTAGAGAGGAAGCCTGGGAGGAAGGTGACTTGCAGATCTCAAGGGGAGTGACAAATAGACTCAAAGCCAAAGGTGGGTTACACTGGCTGTGAAACACTGATCTGCTTAATATGGGATGCCAAAGCCTGATCAACCTTGAAAATGTCCATTTGCTCATCAATATTTGGTTTCTTTTAAAACTGAAGTGGTTGGGTTTCTTTTTTTCTCTACGATTTCCTAAATATTTGCCACTGATATATTGGAAATCTACTGATTTTTTTATGTTCATCTGCCATTCACATTTCTGAGTACTCTTGATTATTTTAGTGAATTGGCTATTGGTTTCCTTGAGTTTTCTAAGTAGGGAAGACATATTCTCATAATGCTAATAAATATTCACTACTTTGCAAAAAAGATTTGTTTGAAAGAAAGAGCAAGAGTGAGAGCAAGGATGATAGAGACAGAGAGGTCTTTCATCCACTGGTTTACTCCCCAGATGCCCGAAACAGCTGGGTTTCTCATGTGAGCAACAGGGACCCAAGTACTTGAGCCATTATCGGCTACCTCCCCGGGTACATTAGCAGAATGCTGGATGGGCAGTGGAGGAGCCAGGACTCGAACTGGCACTCTGAAATGGGATACTGGAGTTCTAAGCAGCAGCTTAACCCACTGCACCACAATGCTCACCCCAATTTCATGGCTTTAAACATTTTACCTTCTCATTCCCTCTCTCTCTCTCTCTCTCTCTCTCTCTCTCTTTGACAGGCAGAATTAGACAGTGAGAGAGAGAGAGAGACAGAGAGAAAGGTCTTCCTTTTCTGTTGGTTCACCCCCCAAGTGGCTGCCACGGCTGGCGCGCTGCGCTGATCCAAAGCCAGGAGCCAGGTGCTTATCCTGGTCTCCCATGCGGGTGCAGGGCCCAAGCACTTGGGCCATCCTCCACTGCACTCCCAGGCCACAACAGAGAGCTGGACTGGAAGAGGGGCAACCAGGACAGAATCCGGCGCCTCAACCGGGTCTAGAACCCAGTGTGCTGGTGCCGCAGGTGGAGGATTAGCCAAGTGAGCTGTGGCGCCGACCTCTCATTGTCTCTTGTCTCAGTGATTGAGCTAGAATATGCTGTCTCACTCTAAAGTATTATCATTGCTTTTTCTCAGATTACATTTGTATTTTTATGTGTAAAAGACATTCTTGGTTGCCTCCTGCAAAATAATTTTGCTCCTTCCTCTGTGCCAAAAAACAAAACAAAACAACAAAACAAAACAAAAACTCTGACAAGAACTGACAGAGAACCCTTGATCTCACTTCACAGGGGCTCAGCCTGTGGGATGTGCATGGAACCTAACTTTGGCTGGTGAAATGCAAACAGAGGTTGGCTGGGAGCCATGCCATCCTGTGGAGGTTTCCTTCCATGACGAGAGGTAGGAATCCTGGGAGGATCATTTGGCTGTTAATCCACAGCCCCGGCTTCCAGGCTTTAAGCACTATTTATTTATTTATTTATTTTTGACAGGCAGAGTGGATAGTGAGAGAGAGAGAGAGACAGAGAGAAAGGTCTTCCTTTGCCCTTGGTTCACCCTCCAATGGCCGCCGCGGCCGGCACCCCGTAGCCGGTGCATCGCGCTGATCTGAGACCAGGAGCCAGGTGCTTTTCCTGGTCTCCCATGCGGGTGCAGGGCCCAAGCACTTGGGCCATCCTCCACTGCATTCCTGGGCCATAGCAGAGAGCTGGCCTGGAACAGGGGCAACCGGGACAGAATCTGGTGCCCCGACTGGGACTAGAACCTGTTGTGCCAGCGCCACAAGGCGGAGGATTAGCCTAGTGAGCCACGGCGCTGGCCTAAGCACAATTTTTGAGGACAGGATCCTGATGCTTGCAGCACCTATTCTCATGTCTAGTAGGAGATAGCAAAAAATCATAGAGAAGCTGGTTAGCCTCTGCCTGAGAACAAGCCCTCTCATGTTTTAAGCCATCTTTGGTCAAGTATGCCCTTCCTTGTAGCTGAAAAGCACTCACAAGTGATGCATTTTGTTAAGGAAACATTTTTGTGTGACTTGTTTACTGTGATTGTCTACCTGAAGCAGGCACTGGGAGTTAAAGTTCAAAGCCAAACATGAGACCAGAACTGGAAGTATCAAGCCACTATCTCAGAATGCAACAACAAAATCATGGCAATGGGGAGTCCAGTACCAGGCTGTGGTTTATGTATTCATCCAGTGTGATTTGCAGGATGGGTCCCTTCCGAGATTCGGTGAAGCAGCAAGTTCCCATATCCATTTTCTGTTGCTATTACAAAATACCTGAGGCTGAGGCATCTTTTAATAAATAAAAGAGGTTGATCGAACTCACAGCTTTGGAGGCTGAAAGTCAGTCAGCCCCATGGATTCAACCCCTGTTGAAGGTCTCATGGTGGGTGGCATCACGATGGTGGGAGGAACGTAGAAGAGGCCGCATGGCGAGACAGGAAGCCAGAGAGCAGGAAGAGCCAGGGAACTGGCTGTTTCTATAGCAACCCCTGTAGCAGGAATAGCTGGAGTCCCATGAGGACTATGTTAATCCTTTTTAGAGGTGATGTCCCCGGTGACTAGCCACCTTTCACCGTGCTCTGCATCTTAAAGCTTCCACGATCTCTCCTGTCACCGCACTGGGGACTAAATTCCAGTACACGAAAACTTGGGGGGACTCATACGCAAACCATATCACTCCATTTCCAAACGTGGCTGCAATGGCCAGGACTGGGCCAGTCTGAACCCAGGAGCCAGAAGCTTCATCCGGGTCTCCCACGTGGCTGGCAGGAAGAAGCTCCTGGCTCTCGGCTTCAGATTGGCCCAGCTCTGACCGTTGTGACCATTTGGGGCGTGAACCGGAGGATGGATGACCTTTCTGTCTCCCTCTCCCATGTGGGCCGGGCCATCTTTTGCTGCTTCTCCCAGGCCATTAGCAAGGAGCTGAATTGGAAGTGGAGCAGCCTGGACACAAACTGGTGGTGCCCATATGGCATCTGAGCTTCAAAGGGGGAGGCTTTACCCATTGTGCCACAACGCTGGCCCCAATCATGTTATTTCTTGTTTAAAACTTTCCATTTCCTGTATTTCTAAGGATAAAGTATAAACTATTCAGCTAACCTCCCAAGGCCTCTGGAGTTGGAACCAAGTCTCGAGTTGTCCTCTCTCCTCTTTGCTCCACTTACCCTGATCATGGGCCCTGGCCTCCGTGAGAGGTGTCAGTGCTCATCCGCCTCAGCTCCCTCTGCCTAACTCTCACTGCTCCTCTTTCTTGATGCCAGACCATGTGAGCTGTCTTTGCTCTGTGCATTCATAGATTCCTGTGTTCCCTCTGGCAAGTGATTTGTCATATTTTATAGAATTTTATGGCAACTGGCTCTTTCTTTGGTTGTTTCCCTTCTGGTAGATTTTCGGCCTCCTGGACTCATTCTGTTCTGTCTTCCGGAAAATTTCTCTCTTTGTGAGAGTGTCAGCCTGCCAGTCGTGGACTGAGAACATGATGCAAACAAGGCTGGTCGATCAGTCTCGCTCCCTGGACTTTGTCTTTTGAGCCTCGTGACTGTTTGGGATACAAACAAACATGGTTGGAGCTGCATTATCTTATTGGTATTGTGGTGATGAGGTGGCTGAGTGCCTGTGGCAGCTGGATGCCTGCTGTAGCCCTGGTGTCTCCTCCCTCTGAGCTGAGTTCTTCAGATGTTCCTTTCAGTCTGTGAGCTACTCAAAAACTTTATCAATAAGATCCTTTATGGGGTGGGGAGACTGGGACTAAGGGAGCCCCCTAGTATCTGTTGCTGATCATCAAAGAATGGTACTGGATACAGCTCTGCAATGTATGTGAGGCAAAGACAGGGACTGTGTCTGTCTTATCACCTCCTTAGCCTTGTGCCTCACACATAGTTAAGTTTGAAGTAACAAGGAAGTATAGTAAATAGAAAATAGAGAATTGAGACCAATCAATTCAAATATGTCAGTAACAATCACAATTCATTAATATAGGATAGTTCACAATACTAAAATACAGATGCCCTGGATTTATTTCTTCATTCCTTGGGATCCTTAAGAAAGCATGCTGTCACCCTAAAAGTGACTTATGATTTTGCAATGTGTAACAAAAGCATTAGCCCAGAGCAGAGAAGCTTCTAAAGTGTTAGAGCAGGAGCTTGCAATCTGTAGGCACTGTTGTGGGTTGAATCGTGTCTCTCTAGCCATGCTCCTCAGTTAATTTTTTAAAAGATTTTATTTCTTTATTTGAGAGGTAGAGTTACAGACAGTGAGAGGGAGAGACAAAGAGAAAGGCCTTCCATCCGTTGGTTCACTCCCCAAATGGCCGCAATGGCCGGAGCTGTGCTGATGTGAAGCCAGGAGCCAGGTGCTTCTTTCTGGTCTCCCATGTGGGTGCAGGGGCCCAAGCACTTGGGCCATCTTCTACTGCTTTCCCAGGCCATAGCAGAGAGCTGGATCGGAGAGGAGCAGCCGGGACTAGAATCAGTGCCCATATGGGATGCCGGCGCTGCAGGTGGAGGATTAACCTATTGTGCTACGGTGCTGGCCCCATGCTCCTCAATTAGTAT